ATGTCAATCACTGACACTCTTCAGGTCTTATTTAAGCAACTGTAGTATTGCGATTTCATGGGGTCAGCTTCCCTGTCACATATAGAGGACACAAGCTCATAACAGATGTCTTCGTCTTCTGACTCTAACCATCTTCGTCTTCTGTGATGTCCCCTAAGGGGTTGGTTTTGTTGTAGATGTTATCAGTTGGGGCTTGGTACTCTATGGTCAGTTGTTCCCTGCATTTGTGACTAATTGTGACTAATTCTCTCTGTCTTAAGCCATTTCACTGGGATATGAAAATATTGTTTTTAAAATTTAAGTGAGTAATATTATTCTCTGGCAATGACTGGGTAATGTGTGTTTATTTCCTGTCTGCTTATGCTATTAAACGCATTCTGAGCACCTACTGCTCTTCAAACCTTATGAATGCTGGTGCTGATGCTCAGTCCCTGTCCCTCAACAAGTTTCAAATCTAGTGTGTAAGCATTAAGTAGGTAATCATCTCAATAGCTCTCTGAGGTGGAGGTGGAAGACAGAGCACAAGATGACTAGGCTATGAGGAAAGCACTTAATACAAGGGTAACCTCTAATGGCTCACAATTTGGGATTTTACTTAATGTAAGGATAAGTAAAAGTCAAAGACCTAGTACAAAACCATGATGAAGAAGCAAATAAGAGTATAGAGAGGTTGTGTGGGGGGAATATGTGTTGTGTGTCTGAAGCACAGGATGCAACGTGTCAGGACGAGGTCAGCTGGGCGACAAGCAAAGACAGAAGGGCAATGACAGGGCCACATGGCTTTGTGAGCCACTTTAAGAACGAGTTCTCAAGTTGCTTTGGTTATATTTGCACTTCAGGCATTCCCTGGCACGTGGTACACAGCAGGAATTTGGCAAATCTTTGCTGGGTGAATGATTGAAGAAATGGTAATCCAGAAACTACCGAACAAGTCCGTGAGTGAGCTTTCTGCTAAGTGCTCTTGTGTAATATAAGTTAGGGTACATGGAAGCTAATAGATCTATATTCTGTAATTATGAATTATATTGGTTTGGCTATGGTAGAGGGTCAAGTAAACAGGTAGTTTTTGTATCTTGCACCCAACTTCCAATTCTGTAATACTGATCTGTAAAGAGGTTCAGGTTTACCTTTTCCTGCAATTGTTCTTCAACAGAAATTGAACTCAGCAATATCTAGCCAACTCTGCAAGAGCAGTTAAAGACTGGGTATAACCTTCCAGCAGTACTGAGAGGCAGCAAAGGTTAAAAGCTATTTTAAGGCCTTGCAAGTCCTAATTTAGGCCTTAGCCATTACTGCACTTAGTGGGCAAAGAAAGACTTTAATGCAACAATGTCTTTAAAGCCAAGCAGGACTCAGGTGACAGAAAATAAACCTTTAGCTAAGTTCTCCTCCCTACTTCCATCTCTCTCTGTCTCTGTCTGTCTGTCTGTCTGTCTGTCTGTCTCTCTCTCTCTCTCTCTCTCTCTCTCTCTCTCTCACACACACACACACACACACACACACAGAGAGAGAGAGAGAGAGAGAGAGAGAGAGAGAGAGAGAAAGAGAAGGGGAGACTCATTGATCAGTCTTGCAACTAAAAATAAAAGCCAATATCTTCTACTGGCACAGCTGTGATGCTAGGGTTTCTTATCTAATAGGTGTTGTATTCATTTCTGTATTCCCAAGGGAGCAGTGAAGGACCTTGCATTTTTCTCCTCTTTACACATAATAGTTGGGCATTTGACCCAGACTGGATGACCCTTCCAAAGAATAGCAGAATGACAGGAGGCCCTTTGTGGGCCGACTACTGGGGCTAACTACACTCCCATTTTGGCTTCATGTTATGTTTAGTAGTCCTGAAATGGGTATGGCGGTCCCCATTAGTCCAAGGACCACTTGCAATATTCCTGCAGGATGCATGTGCTGTCATGTAGTGCTGCTGAACTGTGAGTACACACTTTCCTTTCAGCAGTTTATGTGGTATTTCTGGGGCATTGCTCCTTTGCCTTCTAATTGTTCCCAAGCCAGTTTCTGCATATAGGTTTTCCATCTTTAACAAGAATGCCTGCCTGATTTTGTTCAGAATGCAGGCATCACCTTGCTGGGCACTAATCCTATAGGATCTGTATTCTTCAAGTCATTCTCAGGTATTTAACAAATACTTCTTCAGGAATGCAGCCCAAGAGAAACTTCCAGAGTCTCTTCTATCAGGGGACCAGTGATAATGGGCAGTTGTTCTTCATACTACCTGAACTTCAGAGCCTCTTAAGCCAGCACTTGGACAAATATTTAGTTCTTGTATTACAGAGCCAAATAAAATGGACTTTCTTCAAAGGAAGTATTTTAAATACAATAGCTGTTTTTGTTTCCTTTTTAAACAATGGATTACAATTTTTAACACATTTACTAAATCTGGCATATTTATATAGTGTATCTAAACAGATATTCAAGCTGCATTATGATACAATGGGGAAAAACTATCTCAGTCTATCTGCTAAGCCTTTGTGTGTCTCTGTGCCTTTGTAACAGTGATGCTAATTATCAAGCAAAGACATGGTAATTACACAGAGCTTTTTGCTAAAAGGAGAAATCTCTTCAACACCCACGCACCGCACACTTTCCTGTGACCCTCTAACCCTGCTCGAGCGTGGCCCAGGAATCTGCACTTCAGTCTCCACGTTAGACACCGTTCTATTCTCTCTCTTTCTCCCCAACCTTTCCTGCTTGGGAGTAACTGTTTGTAGAGGGTTAAGGGCGAGAGGTAATGGTCCAAATGGGAAATGCAAAACTAATGACCCTTCATGGAACGTATTATGCTCCTCATTAGACTTACCCAGTTAAATGTATTCCATTAAATTAAAATAAATAGGATTCAAAATTTCACCCAGGAGTAGTAAGCTATCTTCACTGTAAACTTTGTGTTAGACCTGTTCTAAGCGTGACTTCTGACGGCAGAGTCTTAGTCTGTAAGACCTGTTCTAAACTTCTTCCGACTGCACTCCAAGTGATGGCTACTAGAAAGGTTTGAAACCTGGCATACTTAATTATTTGAGGGGACACGTTATATACACTTTCCACTTGAATTTCTTCTCTCAACTGTTCTGATTTCAAGGCTCTATGTTGTGAAAAGTGGTATATGTGATAGTGATATAAAACTTTATCAGTTAGAGACTCTGCCTTAAAATCTTCTCCCCCTCCTGCCATTTCTAAAATATAGGAAGGTCAAATCATGAAGAATAAATGTTACTGAGATAACCCATCAGGACAAGCTTATAATGTGTTAGATTTATATGTTGTATTCACCCAAAATCCTGAGCCTCGGACTCTTGATTTTGCTGGAGAGTTAGAAGCTTAGAGCAATCCAGAGCTTTAATCTGCTTATATCTCAGACAAGGCCATGAAATGAGAGCTTTACTACGGTCTTGAATGGTTCTTTCAGAAATTATATTGTTGCAAAGGATTTTCAAACTATTTCTGGAGCACTGGAAATGAGACCCAGAGTCTCCCATATTTAGGAGATGCTCTACCATTGAATTGCAATCCTCAGCCCCCTTCATGTTTTTTTTTTTTTTTTTTTTTTTTTAAAGACGAGAAACCTTCAGCGGGAGAAAGAGCCAACTTGCCACATAGCGTGATCCTGCAAATCTCAGACTCTTGACCCATTGTTCATATCACAGCCTTTATAGAAATCTAACTCTCAGATGTCCCTCCGTACAGCACTATGAAAATATCATATGGGGTGCCAAACTGCAAGTCACCCAAGTCATGCAGCACACTCCTCTGCAAAACTCAGCATATGAATCTTCTAGATTATAAACTCACGAAAGCAGAATTTAAAAGTCAACATATTTTTCTCGTCTCTCCAGTAAAGTTCTATTGCTCCACATTATCTGAAGAGCTGTCTAGTCCAAGGACATCAAGTCCAATGTCATATTTTAACTCAGTTTGCTATCTTGGAATATATCATGTTATAGTTGTAGTATGAGACAGGCTTTTGTGTGTGAAGTTCACATACACAGAAGCCCTTGGAGCTTCACAACTAACCAGTTCTTTTATGTTTGGTTTTCATTTTTCAGTTTATATGTAGGTATAAAAAGAATTCTTCTAAAGGGAGGAAATTTTCAGTACCAATCTTAAATCTGAGGATTCAGGAAAGTGTATGGCTCAAATCACTAGTCAATGAAAAGCGACAAGGACAGAGTATCTTCACCACACACCAAACATAGGTTTCACTGAACTTTTTCCACTGAAATTGTGTTTGGTCTTATTGGGTCAATTTACCAAGTGAAAATAAAACCAATAAATTCAAAGCTTTTGAAAACTTCAAATTAAAGCAAAGAAATATTTACAGTTTTCAGTGCTATAATGATATCATTTTGAGGGAAACCATTTTGGGGGGATTAGAGACAGGGTTTCTCTGTGTAAAAATCCTGGTAGTCCTGGAACTTGCTTTGTAGACCAGGTTGTCCTCTAACTCACAGAGATCCACCTGCCTCTGTCTCGCCAGAGCCACCTGACCCAGTGAAAAACAACCTTTTTCTAATAGTTGTTTTTTACTTTCTCAGTGAGATAGCCTTTAAAAGAGTGAGTTAGAAAGAAGTGACGTGTGGAAAGATTATACGGTTGGAACGCATTCACTTGAAAAAATACTTTGATTCTGTAGGGAAACTATTACATACTTAAAATAAATTGTTAGTATGCAAGAGTTTATCATTTGGATGACATATCATGTGATCACAGTTCCCAACTCTGGTGTTCAGACACACCGGTGGAGGATACGGCTCACTCATGAAAGGAGCAGCCCATTGATTTGACCCTGGAACCCGATTTCTAGATCCTACGTGGCTCACTCATCCTGTTGCCACTTTAACTTTCATTTTGGGAGGAGTTAATCAGGGTGGTGCGGTATAGCTGGGGGAAACGTCCTGAGACTCTGTACAGGGGTAGGAACATAGGAAAAGAAGATCGTGGGCCTGGCCAGGCCCACACCACGAGGCTATGCAGAATCGCATGCTCACCTCCACGATTTCTGAGTTCGTCCGGCTCTCGTGCGGCTCATTGTACTCTGTGTATTTGAGCAGCACCTTGTCCATGTCGGTGCTGGCGTACTGGAACAGCTTGTTGGTGCTGTTGAAGATGATCAGCGCGATCTCACAGTCACACAGCACGCTCAGCTCGTAAGCCTTCTTCATCAATCCAAATTTCCTCTTTGTAAATGTCACCTGGAAGAAGAAAGTATTTTTTAAAGGCAAAACACTTATGCGTGTGTGTTGTATGTTTTCACACCACTTTTTTTTTTCTTTTTTAAAACAATGGTGTAGAATTGCCAGATCCTTGGGTGCTAACACGTTCCAAGACAAAGCAAATAATCTAAAAGTGATTTCTGCCTAGAATTCAAAAAGGTGTGATTTTTAGCTAGTGGGAGAACGGTAAACTGAAGATACAAGATTTAACTCAGGGAGTTGAAATGAAGATGATGGGAGAAACAATTGTGTTTCTTTGAGTATCTTAAGGTTGTAACGTCAGCATGTTTAACAGTTTTCCCAATTATAAATCTAGAAGTTGATTTGTTTTTTAATCATTTGAAGACTGTGCATGACATTATAAACTTGGTGTTTTAGATTTATGTGAAAACAACACACATATAAAATTTGTTTAGTCTTGTGCCACCTAATTGAGAACACTTGGAGGCTTGTGGGTGTAACTTCTAGGCAGAACCTCAGCTGTGCCTGGGAAATACACAGAATTTCAATGTCATTCCTTCTTCTGCTTCCTTTTTTTTTTCTCTCAGGTCGATAACTTTGTCTTTGACCTTGTCTTCTTCTAGTCTAATTTGTGAACAAGTCCATAATTCCTTCCCTACAAATATTTGTCAAGTTTACACTTGTTTTTTTCCCCCAGGCGACTTCATCATTCACGTTCTTATCACGTCACCTAGCGTCTGGCTTCCTGCCCTGCTGATGTGTCCCCGTTTAAAATCACTGCCTCCTCAATTTATCCCATTCTGCAGAACCTCACCCGACACTCCTTTCCCTCAGGAATTGTCTCCAACAGCTCCTGTTTCCAGTTGTCTACGTTATTTTACTTGCCAATCCCATCGGATCTGAAAGCATGTATTTCACTCTGACATTTCAGTGTTCTTTAAACTTCAGCTTGTCCTGCCTACTAACCCACCCAAAGGCATAAATATCATATATCATAAATCCATATATGGTCCAGTGTTTCCAAGCAAGTATATAACATATCATTCCTAGAAAAGACTTCCAAGAAAAGTCATACAGTTTGATTTGAAAGTAGGCAGGGTAGAGTATCAAGACCGAGGAAACTTTAAGCGACAAGTCGCTTCCAGTTCTATGGCTGACAGTGCCACGTGCTCGTTTTCTTAATTATTTATTTGATAAGCAGATATAATTTTTTGGAACTAGATTTTTCATACTTTGGGAGTCTCTGACAGTTAATTTGGCTTTTTTTTCTTAATACAATGGGTCTTGCACAAGTCAGCTCACTTTTGACTTCCATTTGTTCACAACTCCCAAATCTAGGTTCCAATCCCTTTCTTTTTCTCTTTGTCTCCAGATGACCAATGCATGTTCATGAGTGTGGAAGTGTCAAAGCATCCCTGGACTATTGAAACCTGCAAAACCCAGCTTCAGCATTCTCTCTAGCATCTCTTTCTTCCGAATGTCTCATCTCATCCTAAGCACAGAGTACTTACAACTGAGAAAATCTGTTTCTTGGTGTTGTGAAGAGCCTCTAGACTGAAGCTGGTTGAGAATGTTGTCCTTCCTGAAGAACTCAGGACCATGCTGTGCTAACTGTGCTGGCTGACTATTTGGAATACAAAGCACTCTAACACAGCCCACACAAGGAAGCCAATCTCTACTTTGATGCTATCTACATTTTAACTTGGGCAAGTTTGCTCCACAGTAACTATCAATGCCTTACCATCTATTTCTTTGTTTATCATTTTTCTAATGTACAACTTATAGAATAACCTAGCATTCTATTTTCATATCTGATTATTATATTATGTTTTTGTTGTTGTTGTTGTTTTTTCAAGACAAGGTTTCTGTAGCTTTGGTGTCTGTCCTGGAATGAGCTCTTGTAGACCAGGCTAACCTCAAACTCACAGAGATCTGTCTGCTCTGCCTCCTGAGTGCTGGCATTGAAGGCGTGTGCCACCACCGCCCAGAATGATTATTATATTACTTAAGGAAATTTTATACTCGTTCATTTGGATAAGTTACGACTGACATTAGGATGGGCAGGAGACTTTTCTACTGAAATTGATAAGTAAGTATAATCATTAATTATAGTGATCTATTAAAATATATTTTAACATTTATTTAAGATGCAATTTTAGGCATGGATTTAACTCCATATTTGTGTTTTATTCAATGAAATAGGCTAAAATGTATTAGATACAGAAGCATGATATAAAACAGTTTCACATATATGGAACCACTTTTAATCAGACTTCATGATCACACAGTGTAGATAGAATGTCTCAACATGGTGTGGTTTCTGTTGTACTCAAATCTCAGAATTTGGCATATTATAAAAATCATACCATAGTATATTTAGGACAAAAATATCATTAAAACCACTATTTGTGTTTACTCTCAGATGCTTCTCAGCTTTTGTGTAGCAAAATAGGTGCTGGATAATGCATACTAATTTAATAATACCTGTCAGAAAAAGTTAGTGCATGCAGCTTCTTTTCATTGAAAGTGCAATTTGAAATGATGACTGTATTAAAGTAGTTAAGAAAACATCTTCAAAATCTACTCTTAGTTGCTCTAAATTTAATTCTGTATTATGTTCATATTCTTCATGCATACTCAAAATGTATTTTATAATGCCTTTCCCCATTGTTCATAGCTAGATAAAATTGTTTTTAAGCATTAAGCTTTCCAAAGAGATCTGAGATATTACTCTTCATTTAAAATATGCCACTCAATGACAAAGATTGCAATTCAGAGCTTTTATACTTAAATATAATAATGCATTGTAATGATTACATTTTTCATAACCTGACAATAGTTTGTAATGGGGACAAGTCCATATTTCTATTTCAATAGCATATTTTGACCTTAGGTGATACAGAATGCTGATTTTACAGCAGTTAAGAAAGGATGCTCTTTCCAAGTGTTTCCATCAATGGGGATGCATCGGGAAGAATAAAGGCAATATTATCTAAGTGGGCACTGTCATTCAACATCTAGTTTTCAGAATTAAGGAGATTTAATAAATACATTTGCATGACAAGAAGAACCACACTGTAAGCTTTGGCAATTTTATTTTCCCATTGAATCTTTCAATAGCCCCACATTCAATGATCATGATTTATGAAGATATTTCAACACTAGATTTTATAGTAACCCTAAGTTTTAAGTCCTAGCATACATATAGATATCACATTTTTTTTTTTTTTTTTGGATTTTCGAGACAGGGTTTCTCCGTAGCTTTTGGAGCCTGTCCTGGAACTAGCTCTTGTAGACCAGGCTGGCCTCAAACTCACAGAGATCTGCCTGCCTCTGCCTCCTGAATGCTGAGATTAAAGGCGTGCGCCACCACTGCCCAGCAGATATCACATATTTTAAGTCAACTTTATTAAGGGGAAATGAGAATTTGAAATTGGAATCTGAAATAAAGGAGTAATATATATTGCAGTATGTATATTGTAATATATGTGTATATATATATATCTGCTGCAATATATTGCCGCTTTATATAATCCACTTGTAAAGAAATTTTGAAAATTTTGCCAGAGACAGTTTTTGCTGAAGACTTTTCTACATGTCCAATTTAGGAGGTACAATAATTATTGAATATTAATTAGTCCTCTCCATGTCATACATTTGTGCTGGATGTTATCATTTCTATTACATAAAGCACTATTCCTTTAGTTCATGCCATTTCTATGGCTGGAGGAGAAAAATCACCAAATGCTTCAATGTTTAAGGGAATTTTTTTCCCTCAATAACACCATACATCATTTGAACAATAAATTTCTATTTCTTCTCATGCCTGATGATTTGGAGGGGCATTATTATCTAGCTGTTTCCTTTAGCTTTTGTTTTCAGGTCAAATTTTTCCAGAGTGGAAAAGCAAACTGACAGATATTAAACCAATTGAGATAATTACAAAATAAGGTTTACTCTCCTGAAATTATTTCTCACGTTGTAATTGGTTAAAACTGCTAGTAGTGCTGTGACATCTCCCTTTGCTTATGGCCACTGGCAGCCTCTGAGCACACTGCAAAGTTTAGCTGAAATCATCATGTCTAAGCTGCTTTCAATGCCATATTCAGATAAAAAATTTTTCTTTCCTCAGTTGAGTTTTCCAGTGTTATATGTATTTATCAGTTGATTGATGAGGCATAGTCTCTCCGTGTTAGCACTGATCCTTTTTATTTCAACCTTCCAAATTTTGTGATTACAAGTGTGTACCATCATGTACTGGTTCCTCCAATAATGTGTATGAGTTTTTGTTTTCCAAAGCATTCTAACACCATAGAGCTGATTGCTTATGGGTTTGTCCTTCTTGCTGGCTTTTCTGCTCCCAACACCCTGAGCTGCCTCCACACAACTAACTTGTGGCTACAGTGTGTGGTTGCTGAATAGTAGATTACAGAATAGAAATACCCTATTTTAAATGCTGTTGACTGCCTCAGTATAATTTTCCGTTAAAAGTAGATACTTCCTTTACTTGGCTTTTGGCAATTTAACCTCTTAGAGATAAGATGATTCTGGACTTATAAATATGTAAATATTCTAACAAGTTACTGTCACGAATCTTGAGAGAAAGTAATTATGACTTTTTTTGCATTTTGAAATTTATATTATGGAAAGCAGAGAATTCCCATAACAGACTACATATGTATAGATTCTCCATACTTCAAGAAAAGTTCAATGAAAAGTGTTTTTGACTCTGTGCCTTGATGATGCATCATGAAGGGTAAAAAATGTGTGAAGATAGATGTTTATATTTATGGTCGTAGACACAGAAATAAAAGGATTGAAAGATAGGGAAAGATGACTCAGTCCATAAACTGCCCACTGTGCAAATATAAGGACCCAAGTGTGGGTTCCCAGCACCCACACTAGGGCAGATGTGGCCAGGGATAGGGGTGTAGAGTCAGGTGGGTTCCTGGAGCTTACTGGTCAGAGAGCCTAACCAATCAGTGAGCTTACTGGCCAGAGAGCCTAACTAATCAGTG